TTTTAGTTTTCCTCTTTGAGTTTTTTTTTTTTTTACGTAAACATTTTTGAATTCTCATTTTTGACCCCCACAAGAAAAATGGTCTCGGTCCGCCCCTAATCTCGATTGACTTGATATATTGATAGATGTCAAGTATGGAAAGGTGCGTGCATTGATTCATCTAGGTGGGTTCATGGTAAATCATATTTTATTTTAATTTATATTAATGTGATCATTGTGTGGATTCCTGTTAAAGGCTAGACATCTGTTGTAGTGTACAAGATCGTATTAGATCAGATTCAACTTCGTTGTAACTTATAAAAATTCGTCAAAAGGTTTTCATTTTTCTTCACTTGTTCAACGAGTAAGGCTGCATGGCGGGAGTGAGATTTAAGATGGGGTTAAACAAGAGGTGGTTGCCACCCTTGACAACACAATTTTGGGAACTTATCATTGCCTTAGAAGGTCTTATGCTAACACTATAGGGGTTCTTAGGAAAGGAAAACTAGATTGGTCATGGAAGAAAGGATGATAGATGCACAAGCACAACTGTTGGCTGACATGTAAAGCTTCAGTGCGAATAAAGTACTACTGCATCTACTAATGTTGAATCTACTAGCTGTAGCCAAGTTAAAGAACATTATTTTGTTATGAAATAAAGAGGGATATCTATTTGCTTTGATACCACTTGTTAAATTCAGAAAACAAGAGTAATATGGCATTGGAGAGTAAACAATCACAAACACAAGATTTACGTGAAAAACCATGGACAGTGGAGAATAATTCAATATATAATGAAAGAATATAATGATTTTGTATTTTCAATTTGTTCTCTATCATAATCAGAAGTTAACTATATATAGAGCACATGTCAAATCCCAATTATTGTGTTTTAGATGAAAAGAGTATCTTACAATTGGTCAAATCACAAAACAGTCATGGACCGGATAATGTCGACGCTCGAGCGGCAGCCTCGCTCCCAACGAGTGGTACTCGACGCTCAAGTGCCAAAGCTCATTGATAACAAGTAGAATGCATCATTAAGTCATAGCACTCAAGCGCTGAATCTTTATTCCAAATTTGTTTTTACACCCCAAATGTTAGCTTAGGCGCCCAAATAGTGGCACTTTGGTAGTGTGGTAAACGGGCAGAGCGGCTCGTTGGCTTAGTTCGTGAAAGTTTGCTTAAGGGCTACTCAAGCTCGTCAAATGACGAGCTTGAGCACGAGCAGGAGCCCGCTCGGCTCACCCATAAGTTTATTTTATTTTTTCTAAAAAAAGTTTATCTTTAAAAAAAATTTAACGAGGTCGCGAGCCTAGCTTGGCCTACAAGTAATGAGCCGAGCAAAAGCTAGGCTGGTTATAAACGAGCCATGAGCTCTGCTCGTGATAAGTACACGAGCCGAGCTCGTGGGGCATACGGGCCGAGCCCAGCGACTTTTGTGGCATATGGCCAGGCCGAGCGTGTGCATAGCTCTGCTCGGCCAGGCCCATTGCCACCTCTACACTTTGGGGCCCGATTTCTGTCCAAAACTCCTTTGATTTATATTTTGACCTTTTCATTACTTCTTTCAATCAATCCATCAATAGTAGATGAGTTTAGGTTGCATTTTAACAAATCTTCAGCTTGACACAAATTCCATTGCAATGAACAAAGCTTTAAAAATTCTCCACCGAAGACAAATTTCACGACAAGAAATAGTACTTAGCTCTTCAACAAAACTCTCCACCTATTTCACAAAGTCCAACTAGAACAAATTTAATAACTGAATATCAACTAAGTCCAAGCACTGCTTAGGGGATTACCTTTGGTGCCAAAATTGCTCGAATTATCACCACTAGCAAAAAGATCACAAATAACTCAATAACTGCCAAATAGGGAAGTAGAATATCCTATAACAGAATCACCACAGCTAAATGCTTCCGTAGATGGTTCTTCTCTAAACTCAGTACCTTCAACCACATTTAAAACAAAAGCAACTAAATCAACTTCCCTGTACCTTTGTGGAAACCTAATATCTCTCGTAAGTTTGTCTTTGGCAATTAAATAATGTGGCACCACTGGTGGTGGTGGCACAACGACATTACCCATAACTTCTGTACTCAACTAAGATGCATTTTTTAATATAGAATCTAAACCGAATTCCAACGGCACTTTACCAAACTCAAAATCCACCTGAGTGCTTAATTTCTACAAACTGGTATCTAAAGATTTTGTACAACCCTGCAAGACATATAATTGGGACCTTTTTTGCCCCTTCATCACAACACAGGCACATCTTACTTACTTTCAAAACTCCACATTCACCAGTATACTTGTACCCTTTTAGTTAAGAGTACTTAAAAAGATAAAATTTCTCTTCAAATTTGGAACATGTCTCACATCGTCAATTGTCTTAGCAGTCCCATCTAACATCTCAATTCTGACCATTCCAATATATCAGCTATCTTACAAGGTACATTATTTTTCATTATCACAATACCTTTTGAAATTGTTTTGTATGTTGAAAACGAATTCCAATTAGGATACATATGAAAAATGCAAGTTGTATCAAGAATCCAATCATCGTCTAATTTGTAGTCGCTGTCAGAAATTACCTAAAGTTCTCCATTATTGTAGCAATCTTCTGCAACACTAGCTTCACCTTAATTTTCTGGTTGTTTTCCCTTTTGATTTGCATGAACTAATTTTTCCTCATTGTGTAACTTATAACATTCCTTTTTAATGTGCTCATTTTTCTTGCAGTAATTACAAATTTTATCACTGAAATTGTACTTCAATTTATACCCCATATCACTATCAAGAACAAGTCCTTCTCCATGAGCCTCAAATCTAACAAGACGCTTCATTTTCTCCTTTGAAAATGGAGTATCATATACTTTTTCAATGGTGAGAGCATCATAACTATATAAGATTATGTCTCTAAACGACACATAAAAAGTGGGTATCGAACATGATAAAATCAATCT